ACCTGCTGAGCTTTTCCACCAACTTCTGTTTTTGTTCTTCTCTCCCTTTGGGCTCTATCCACACCTATTGTTTACTCCTTACCCCTCCAGCCACCCTTCCTTCTGCATATAAACCGAAATTTTCTGAGCTACCATCAGTTCTGAGGAAGAGTTCCTGGATCCGAACCATAACTCTGATTTCTCCCCACAGATGCCGCCAGACCTGCTGAGCTTTTCCAGCAATTTCTGTTTTTGTTTCTGATTCACAGATCCTCAGTTCTTTCCATTACGTCTACATTGCTTTGCCCTAATCCCATTGCAAAAAATGTATCCACTCATGTCCTGATATTAAATTCCACCTGCTATTCATGTGCTCATTCTGCTATCATATGTGACCTGTTGCATTCGATTCATATCACATTTGACACTCCTTAAAGTTCCACATCATCAGCATATTTTGCCATGCGTTCTAACAACAACTTATATGTATTTAGCATTTTTAATGTAAAGAAATGGCCCAAGGCATATCAAAGCAATGTTATGAAATAAAGTATGACATTGAGCCCAATAAAGAGACCTGAGCTGGATTTAATATAGCATGTTGTGGCTCTTCATTGAAGGAGAAGCTGCACATTAGTCTCCCAGTGGTAAGCCACAATCAGGTGAGGAAGAATGAATCAGTTTTCCTCTTGCTAATCCTGTTAGTTGGTCACAACATTTTATTTATTTTCAATATGTAGCTACCACATGTCAATTAAAACACAGTACTAGTCAAAATTAACAAGCTAATTACAAGGTTTGCTTGAGATGGATATAACAGAGGCAATTTACTACCCATTGTCAGAGATATACAGCACGGAAACAGACCCTTTGGTCCAACTCATACATGCCGACCAGATATCCTGTATAAATCTAGTCCCATTTGCCAGCATTTAGCACATATCCCTCTAAACCCTTCCTATTCATATACTCATCCAGATGCCTTTTAAATACTGTAATTGTACCAGCCTCCACCACTTCCTCTGGCAGCTCATTCCATATATGCGCCACCCTCTGCGTGAAAAAATTGCCCCTTAGGTTTCTTTTATATCTTTCCCCTCTCACCTTAAACCTATACCCTCTAGTTTTGGACACCCCACCCCAGGGAAAAGACCTTGCCTATTTACCCTATCCATACCCTCATGATTTTATAAACCTCTATAAGGTCACCCCTCAGCCTCCGATGCTCCAGGGAAAATAGCCCCAGCGTATTCAAACTCTCCCTTTAGCTCAAACTCACTGACTCCAAGAAAACTAAAACGCAACATCAAACACACACACAAACATAGGTATAAGGTTTAAAAGGAATGCGTGTCTGCTATACACAAAGGCTACACAATTCAAAAGTACTTGGGAGTCTTTGAACTGTTAAATTTTTAGCAGGAGACCACAGTTGTTTAGTTATTGATTTGTGGCAAGACTTGTAGATAACTTTGATTTCTTCATACATGGATGTTTTCTCAATTTGCTTTTCCACTGTGTGTTGTCTTTGGAGAGGCTGAGAGAAATGGAGAAAGAGAAACTTCCAGTTCTTTTGTTTCAAATTCATTTTTTCTACTCTCTGCTCTGCCAGGCAGCTACTGAAATATATTCCCAAGTCTAGCTCTATTGTCTTCCAATGCCAGCAAACCAGGCGACACTTTCATCTTCCAAAATATGCAATTATCATATAAATGTGAATTAAAATTTGCTGACTTGCAGGTGCCTGGTTTTGATGTCGTTAGAAAAAATGGCTTTTTCTGTGCTCATGCCTTTTTAGATCACTATATGCCCTTTTCAAAAAAAAATTTTTAGTCTATGAAAGATCTCAGGTGTAACAATTAGATGATGGAAGCTAAAATTTTATAGTCTATATTTGTTCCACTGTGATAGTGTAGAAGAATCCAGTGATTAAGATAGAAGCAGGAATGGGCCCATGGAAGAAACATGTCTGTTCATGGTATTTTGTCAATGGTTCATTTTTTGGATATTGACTCATTGGATGTGCGTGTCTTTTACTGCCTGTCCCAAGTTGCCCTTGGGAAGGTAGTGATGAGTTGCCTTCTTGAACCTGAACAGTCCATTTAGTGTGGGTCCCTCCAAAATGCTGTTAGGGAGTTCCAGCATTTTGACCTGGCGACACGAAAGGAATAACCATATATTTCGAAGTCAGGATGGTGAGTGGCTTGGAGAGGAACTTGCAAATAGTTCGCCTGTATCCACTGCCCTTGACTTTGTAGAGGGTTGTAGGCTTGGGTTTGGAAGGAACTGTTTTAGGAGCCATGGTAAATTTCTGCTGAGTGTCTTGTAGGTGGTATATATTGCTCCTGTTGAGCATTATTGAGCCAGTTGACACCAGCCATTCCTGAGCTCACCAGAGTTTAGTGATAGTTCAGGGATTAAATGTGAATGGCATGTTTTCCTCTACCTCCAGAAGTCTGGCAGGCAAATCCAGCATTGAGAAAGAGAGTGACCATTGAAAACCATCCCTCCCTTACCTTCCCCACCCACATGCTCACGCAATCTCTCCCCATCTCCTCAAGCCACATTCAGTCACCTGGGCCTCGGTCCCTCGGCAATCCTTAAGTTTCTCCCTGAGTGCATTCCTGGCACTGTTACCCATGATACTGGTTGTAATTGAAAGCTGCTGACCTTGCATTAGCACAGAGCTCTGAGTGCACAAATTTCTCCACCTCAGCACCTAAATTTGAGGAAATCCTGACAGTGGCAACAGTCAAGACTACCCATGCACTATGTGTTTCCCACTGCTTCTGCATCTGGTAAATTCCACCCATAGGTCAGGTGACCAAACGTTTTGTCTTAAGCAGTGATTTGAAGAAGAAAAGTGCGATAGTGAGAAGTGAGCTTTCATTAATAGAGGGATTGAGTTCAAGAACCGTGAAGTTATGCCCCAGCTATACAAAAGCCTGGTTTGGCCACATCTGGAGTATTGTGTCCAGTTCTGGTCACCTCATTACAGGAAAGATGTGGAAGCATTGGAAAAGGTGCACAGGAGATTTACCAGGATGTTGTCTGGAATGGAGGGATGGTCTTACGAGGAAAAGTTGAGAGAGCTAGGGCTTTTCTCTTTAGAACGACGAAGGATGAGAGGTGACTTGATAGAGGTGTACAAAATGATCAGAGGTATAGATAGAGTAGACAGCCAGAGACTTTTTCCTAGGGTGGAGGTAGCTTTTACGAGGGGACATAGTTTTAAAGTGAAAGGAGGTAGATATCGGGGAGACGTCAGAGGTAGGTTCTTTACTCAGAGAGTGGTAGGGGCGTGGAATGCATTGCCGGCGAGGGTAGTGGAGTCAGCCTCATTAGGGGCATTTAAGCGGCTATTAGATAGGCATATAGATGATAGTATAAAGTAGTGGTGGAGGTTAGATAGACCTTCGGTTTCGGGTAAAAGTTCGGCACAATATCATGGGCCGAAGGGCCTGTACTGTGCTGTACTGTTCTATGTTCTATAAAGGTGGAGAGGTGAGGGGACCAAATCAAGAACTCTTGGACTTGGCAATTAAAGAAATGGCCACCGATGGTGGACAAGTCATTGATATAGTATCAAGAAAAGCAGTAGTCCTGGCATTGAACCTTGGGAACAACACTGTTTACCACCTCAAACCTAAAATATAATCTGCTACCATGACCTGATTTTTTTCTATTCTTAAGACAATGTTATTTCTATCCAAGTTTTAGTGGATCACCTATTGCATGAACCACAATTGTGTTAACCAGGACTTTCTGTGGTACTTTGACAAATGCTCTGTAACATCCATGTAGTTAATTTCCAGTGCAATCTCTTCATCAATCTTCACTGTTAATTCATTTAAAATTCCAATTTGATTAGTCTAGCACACTACCTCTTACAAATCTGCGTGGTTCTTCTTAATAAACTCAAACTTTTTCATGTGTGTGTTGAATCTTTTCCCACAATTACAGGTTCTAAAACCTTACCCATTATTATCATCAAACCAACTGACCTTAAGATTGTCCTTCAACCCTTTCTCAAAGAAGGGTTTCATATTTGCTCTCTCCAATTTTCTGAGACTTCCCAAATACCTAGGGCACATGGAAAGAATATGGCAAATCCTTGCACTATCTCCATTCCAACTTCATTTAAAAATCTGATGTCAGCCACCCAAAACCAGTGACTTATTTATCTCAGCATAGCAAGCCTTTCAAGTTCCTACTGCTGATTAGTTCCATGATTATCTTTACCACCTTGCTTCTATCAGCATTCTGTCAGCCTTCTTTTCCTAAATAAATACATTGTGTTTAATAAGTTCACTAAAGCTTTACATAATTAAAACACAGGTTTTCGATCACAATTGTGGTTTATGACTAAATTTGTGAAAACATAGATGGCAGAAAAGGAAATCTTGCAAAGCATGGATAACTTTGACAAATGTAATGGCTGGAGTATCTCTCAAGAACATTGGTTTCTTGCTTAGACAAGATAGTGCTTTACAAGATGCTATAAATGGGTAAAACAAACTATTACGACCAAGGTTGGAAGTGTACACCGATTTTTTTCTAGTCCCAATTTTCACTGGTCATAATAAATTTAAAATTTAACCAAATTGACAATTTAGCTATTTAATAGGTCTCAGACTGTATCTGGTTTATATTAGAAACAATTCAGCCAGATTTCCGTTGTCAACAAAGAATAACCAGTTTATTAAAAATAAAACTCAAGCAAACATGCAAACTTTATTGACGAGAAAAGGCTTAGTCTGTGAAAAGATAGAATTTTATTGTAACATCCAAAAATTAACATGAGACAAATATGGGTAACAGACAAAGTTTGGTCAAACATTCCACACAACACATAAAATAGCAAATGCAATCAACGTTGACCCATGGATTTCTCCCCTGGATGTTAATGACATTGCCGGTTCCCAAATCTCACATAAAACTGTAAATTTGTTTAATGCCAGAACAATTGACTGCTTGTGTTCAGTTTATACTGACCCCGGAGAAAAAGTAATGCATCTCACCTTTTATATTTCTTCCTGATGGGCCCACCCATATGAAATATGGATCGACTAATTCTTTTTCTGCAAGCTCCTGAGTTGTACAGAGAAGAGCTGGACTGTCATGGTACATCTTCACATAAACTTTTACTACAAAAGAGTCATTGAAGATTATCAAAACTGGCATTGTAGGATTACATGTATCATGTAACTGATAAACCGAAAGTTGAAAAATATCATAATCTACATCTCTTTGCACAAATTCTCTCCCCATTTCCAACTTGTGTACTGAAAATACTAATTCACACTGCAGTGCTCTGGATCTAGAAGTGGGAACATAATTAGGTGGGCTTATCTGTCATCCAAAACCCTGGCCCTTCCCACTTTTGCCCGAATTAAATTCTGGACCAAAGGGCCAAGCTCCATCTTTCGCTCTCTCACTAGTTAAGGTGCAAAAGTGGTCAATTATTGACTGGATGTGGGGCATTCTCTCTCAGTGGGTGGCTGCTGAGAGCCACCTTTCTGCTCTTGCTTCGGACTCCCTTGACCCCCTCTGTGACAACACCACATCAGAGCTGCCCTCATCCAACAAAATGCATTTTTCTCATGAGCAATCCCACATTCTGGCTCTTAGCAACAAGACTTTCCTCATTCTGGTTCCTAATTCCAGTAGAAAGCCTACAGAGAACCAGTCAGCTGCCTGATTGCCAGGGAATCTGGTAGGCTTTGCCATCTTCACAGGCCACGGGTTTCCCTCCTTCAAACTCTTCCATTTTTGTAGACTGTCTGAAAACAGGGATATCTTGGCCTAGAGTACAGTTCTAAAGGTCACCATGCCACTTTTTTTGTCTCAGCCTGAACAGCAACATGTCAGCAGCAGGCTAAGTCATCCTGACATTATTCTCCTCTCTAAATAAGAACCGAAAGAACTGTGGATGCTATAAATCAGGACCCAGCGGATGCAAAACGTAAACTCTTTTTTCCTTCACAGAGGCTGCCAGACCTGCTGAGCTTTTCCAGCAAACTTTGTTTTTGTTCATTATTCTTCTCTCCCTGACTTGAAACATACACACTTTCCAGCAGAGGTCACCGGATGGCAATTCAGAACAACTGACCTAGCAACCCTGAGGCCAACTGTATTTAACTGTTCCAGCTGAAATCTGTTAACATGGCACACAGGAAATGAAACCTCAGATTTTTTTGCCAGCATGTTTTATTATCTACATCTCTGAAAAAACATTATCAGTCATGTCTGCATCTAGGATATGAAGAATTTCAGGGTTGTTTGACTGATGAATACAACAGCTCCAAATAATTGTGACCAATACAGCCACTCTCGAGCTGTTCGTCAGACATGTGAACTGAAATATACAGTTAAAAAGGCGCAAGTGAGGTACAAATACATTAGCAGTTATTGATTCATCAGCACAAATATTGGGATGTTCTGACATACTGTAAGACAAAAACTGCTACAACAGAACAAACAGTAAATAAAATACCAAGGATACTAAGACAATGCAGGCACTGAGGTAATTATTTGGAAATGAGGCAGCAGCACAGTTGTCGATTTAGTATCAACAATTCTGTTTTGTTGCCAGCAGTGGCATTCATGGTAGACACTCAATGCAGTTGATGTGAAAGTTCAATAAAGAATTAACAAATAAGAATTAGTAAAATTGATCATATGAGAATGTACAATGTTAAATAACAAGGATCAAATGCAATAATATTTAAGAAGCAGAATCCAACGCATTCATATTTTTCGAGGTGGAAGATTTGGGTATTGTTTTGCATCAAATAATTTAAACAGGTCACATTGCCTGAGTTGCCTCCCTTCTTTGTCCCAATAAATCATTAACCCTGAAAAAATCTTTATAAGTTTCCTATCTACCATTGATTTGTTTCGCTATTTAGTTCCTTTTATTTTCAGATTTTGCATCATGTACCATTCTCACCAAGATAACTTGTGCCAGTCATTACTCTGCTTCTCCCATTCTTGCTTTTAGTTACCTGGTCTGTTGCTGTTGCCATAAATTTCTTGGATATGTTCAATATGTGTGATGTCAATTACACCAGTAGCTCTACCTGTTTTAATAACAAACAGTAACCGTTGTAATTTCATTGCCTACAGGATTTTATATAGATTTTTAAAAGTAGTTGAAGATTATTTGTCTATTGAGTCTTGGAGGTGACACATCTGTAAACCCTAAATACACAGAATAGCAGGTCAGATTTAGAAACGGCAGTTACTTACTTAAAGTTGCCTAACTCAAAGTTTAAATTGGTCCATAACTGGGTGAGTCTATAGGTGTGAGGTTGGAAAAGCACAGCAGGTCTGACAGCATCCGAGGAGCAGGAAAGTCAATGCTTTGGAACGAAACGTTGATTTTCCTGCTCCTCGGATGCTGTCTGACCTGCTGTGCTTTTCCAGCCTCACATTTATAGACTCTGGTTTCCAGCATCTGCAGTCCTTATTGTCTCCTATAATTGGATGAGATGTAAGCCCATCTGAAGTGGCTGGAAGGCTACTTAATTATTCAAAAGAGATCCTATCCCAATTGTATAAATGGCACTGCATACATTCCACCCATCTGTACCCGGCATTGAATGAATCATTAAAATAACGATCGGTAGTCCCTCTTTTTTTTTGGTGGTAATATTTTGATTTTTCATGTATTGCAGAGAAGCGAAAGGAACAATTGTAAGTCAGCAGATGTCAGGCTGGACAGGTTACATTTCAGTAGATGGGAAGGATACCCACAAAAAATCATCAGTTCCTTCTTTCAGTTTCTCTCCATTTAGATAAAACACTGTTATATGTCCTTTATCACAGAAACAATGACAAGCTAGGTAGAGACAGTAAGAACTGTCAATGCTGGAGTCAGAGATAACACAGTGTCGAGCTGGAGGAACACAGCAGGCCAGGCAGCAGAGGAGCAAGAAAGTTGACGTTTTGGGTCGGGACCCTTCTTCAGAAAATTTTCTGACCCGAAACGTCAACTTTCTTGCTCCTCTGATGTTGCCTGGCCTAACAAAATAGGTAGGTTTCTGGGAAATAACCACTGAAAGATCTGCAGTGAATTCTGACTGATCAAACACAAGCAGCAGACACATCAAATGCCAAGAATACTGATATTTTCATAAGATCTATTTCATAAAACTGATGCATACTTTGAGAGTATGGACAATATACAAATATGAAGAGGAGCAATGGAGGATTAAGCAGTGGTAGAACAGCGATTGGGAAATGTAAGATTGGACAGTGGACTCTTGTACAATGGGTGATAGGTCTGTGAGGGACTGGCCAATGTGAAAATGGGAGTTTGGGCATTACTAAAATGGGTACTGGGGGATTGGGCAGTCAGAGAACGGTTGGGGAGCAGGGAGGAAGTTAGGCAGCAGAGAATTGGGAAGATGGAAATCGAGGAATTGGGTAGTGAAAGGATGGCATTGACAGATGGGGCAGTGGGAGAATTCAGACTGAGCAGAGGAGGATTTAACAGTGGGGTCTGGATGATCAGGGATGGAAGATTGCGCAGTAGGGAATTGCAGACTGGGCAATGGGAGAACGCATACATGGCATAAGACGATGAAATCGAGGAGAATTAGGCCATTCAGCCCATGTGCTATGTCATTCAGTCGTGATTGATATGTTTCTCAACCCCAATCCTCTTACTTGTCCCATATCCTTTGATCCCTTATTAATCAAGAACCACCTATCTTGACTTAAATACACTCAATGACTTGACTTCCATGGTTTTCTGCAGCAATGGGTTCCACAGATTCACCAAAATTTGGCTGAAGAAATTTCTCCTCATCTCAGTGGTAAAGGGTCATCCCTTCACTCCAAGACTGTGCCCTAGAGTCATAGTCTCTTCTACTATTGGAAATATCTGCTCCAGGACAATACTCTATCCAGGACCCTCAATATTCTACAGGTTTCAATCAGATGCCCACTTCATCCTTCTGAAACTCCACTGAGTACAGACCCAGAGTCCTCAACTGCTCCTCATATGACAAGCCCTTCATCCCTGGGACCAATCTTGTAAACCTCCTCTGGACCCCCTCCAAGGCCAGCACATGTGATTTTTTAGATACAGGATGCCAAACTGCTCACAATATTCCAAATGTGGTCTGACCAGAGCTTTATACATCCTCAGTAGTACATTTCTGTTCTTGTATTCTTGCTCTCTCAAAATAACATTGCACATGCTTTCCTAACTGCCAACTGAACCTGCAAGTTAACCTTAAGAGAATCCTGAACTAGGACCTCTAAGACTTTTTATGCTTCATGTTTCCGAAGCCTTTCATGATTTAGAAAATAGTCTGTGCCTCTATTCTTCCTACCAAAGTGTACAACCTCACAACTGCCACATCTTTGCCCATTCTCCTAGCCTGGATGGCATGGTGGCATACTGCCCCACAGTGCCAGGACCCACATTTAATTCCAGTTGGACAACTGCCTGTGTGGAGTGCGCATGTTCACCACATGTCTGCATGGGTTTCCTCCTACAGACCAAAGATGGCAGGTTAGGTGAGTTAGCCATGTTAAAAATTACCCTGCAGTATTCAGGGATGGGCAGGTTACCATGGGCTGGCCATGGTAAAAACCCCACGTGGCGTTACAGGGATGTGATCGGAGGATGGATCTGGGCGGGATGGTCTTTGGAGGGTAGGTGGAGACTCAATGGTGAGAATAGCTTCCTTCTGCACTGTACGGATTCTACAATTCTTTGAGTCGTTTTGCAGCTTTGCTGCCTCAGCACTACCTGTCCCTCCACCTATCTTTCTTCATCTGCAAATTTAGCAGCAATGCCTCAGTTCCTTATTCCAAATCATTCATGTATAATGTAAATAGTTGTGGTCCCAACACGGAGAAGGAGAAAAGAGGCCGATCTGGACAGTTGGGACTGGGTAGTGTGGGATTTGACTGTCAGGACTGGGCTATGGAGAGTGGGAAGTGAGGGTCTGGGTAGATGGAGATGGGGGACTGGGCAGTGAAGGATTGAGATCTGGTCAGGAGGGTCTGAGCAGAGGGAGTCTGGTGAATTGGGAATTGGAGGCTGGGCAGAGAAAAATTGGGATCTGATACATAGGGCTCTGGAAGTGGGGTGTGGGAGGTTTGGAATTGGGGTCTGGTCAGTGGGGCTAAGGTCTATAGGCCAGGCTGACCAGAACCACACTTCTGCTGACAAGACGCGCCACTGACCTAGACCCCATCGCCCTCCTTGCTGACCAAACCCCCAACTGGCCAGATCCCTGACCCGCTGAGTAGACCTCCTCCCCCCACCACTTCAGAGACTTCACTGACCAGGTGGGGTGGGGTCAGCAGGGATAGGTCTAGTGAACCTTGGGTGGGTGGAGGAGGTGGCCTGAAGTTTCAGGGAGTCTGGTCAGCCAGGGTGGGAGTGGTTATCTTGTCAGTAGGGGAGGGGTCTGTGTTCAGCAGGGGGTGATCCTGAACAGCCTGTGGGGGTGGGGTTTGGTCAGCCTGTTGGGGCGGTGCGGTTTGGTCAGCCTGTAGGGGCGGTGGGGTTCAGTCAGCCTGTGGGGGGGGGTT